ACGAGAAAGTAAAAATGCAGTTTCAGGGGAACGGCGGAGGGGGTTATGTGTTGAGGTGTGGTGTTTTTAAAGAGAGTGGTGGGGGGGGGGGGGGGAAGCGAAGATCTGGCTTTTTGTGAAAATGTGTTACAATTAGAGAAGGGGGGTTGGGTGCAAAATCGTCTGAAGAGTGAGTCGTCGTTAATGGGTGACCACTTTATGATTGTATATTGACGTCACCATCATTTTGGGCGGTGGCTTTATGTGACGATATGTAACGAGAAAAAAGAGGGTTGAGTTAATGGCGTAGCATTTATTTTGCATTTTTTAAGGATACAAATAATAAAAACACTGCTTATTTTGTTTTACATGTGTGACGACATTGTGTTAAACCAAATGTATTGAATAGTAGGACTTACAGATTATTAGTTCTCTCCCCCCCCTGAAGCAATTATCCCCTGTCATTTACCCCCCGCCAAGGAGGAACCCCCCCCACGGACACACCTCTTAAGGTACAGCTGGGGTTAGGGTTATGGTTAGGGTTACGGCTAGGGTTAGGGTTAGCGTTAGGGCTAGGGTTAGAGATAGGGTTAGCGTTCTGGCCAAGGTTAGGATTATGGTTAGGGTTACGGCTAGGGTTAGGGTTAGCGTTAGGGCTAGGGTTAGAGTTAGGGTTAGCGTTCTGGCCAAGGTTAGGATTATGGTTAGGGTTACGGCTAGGGTTAGGGTTAGCGTTAGAGCTACGGTTAGAGTTATGGTTAGCGTTCTGGCCAAGGTTAGGATTATGGTTAGGGTTACGGCTATGGTTAGGGTTAGCGTTAGGGCTAGGGTTAGAGTTTGGGCTAGGGCTAGCGTTCGTGCTAAGGTTAGGGTTATGGTTAGGGTTAGCGTTAGGGCTAGGGTTAGAGTTAGGGCTAAAGTTAGGGTTAATGTAATAGATTGACGATAGAAGCATGTGATTGTATATAAAACGTTTATTGGCCTTCAACTACATGATGGTAACGAGAGAGGGCGGAAGTCACGAGACACAAATATATATAAACATATAAGGGACATCACTCAAGATAACAGTATAAATATAATACTAATACAGAAGAGTGAGTTCCCTTGACTTCACAAGTCTCACTATATTACATCCCTTTACCCTTAGTAAACACAACACATCTCTCAATAGAACAATTTACAGTATCCTAAAATCACCAAATATATTGTAACATGAACATTATGGTAGATTACATCCTTACAAACAATGCACAATATGTTACAACATAATCAAGATACAAAACAATGATGTCAAAGTCCTTTTGACCTTTAAATCATAGGTCTAACTTATCTGGGACTTTGATTGTCCTGTTTGACCTTCTCAGTGGCTTTTGATTTGGTGACTCAAGATTCTGACCATATGGATTCTCTATCTCAGGAGGTCTAGGATCTAAATCATTAATTCCAGAATTTACATTTTCTGACTCTAGACAACTTGGTTCACTCATATCAACAGAACTTGGTTGTGGAACAAACTGAGTTGGTGTGAACTGTTCAGATTTGGTGGGATTGATAGATTCACACTTATTATCTGCACAAGTTATTTTTAACTGGTCTGCATGTCTACGGACAATAAGTCCATCATTTGTTTTTACTTTATAAGACACAGGTCCTGTACATTGAACAATTTGACCTGGTATCCATTTTTCCTTTCTCCCATAATTTCTTAGATACACATTCTTATTAACACCAAATTCTCTTTCAATGCATGTTTTGTCATGATTTAATGGAACTATTTTTGAATTGTCATCTGGAAGTATTATGCTGTTATTCAGATCCTTAACTGACATAGATTTCTTTGATTGATCAATTTTCTCAGGTAATCTGATAGTGCTTTCCTGGTAACCAAAAATACTGTTTAAAAGTACTATCCTGGACCATATCAATTTGCAACTGTGATCCAGTATTTGAAGTGGGTGTATTAAATGGCAAAAATCTTTTTTCTTTTGATGTTACCCTTTTAGTTTCTGTAAGTGCTAATGATGTTAGCAAAGTTGTTTGATGATCACATTCCTTCTTACTAATGTATTCTCTTTAAAAGCATTTGAAATTGCCATATCACCATAATCATTTATTAAGTTACAAATACTTTGTTTAGGTAACTCTGACTGATAATGGACTGCATCTTCTCCATCTTTTAGACTTAATTCCATTTTTCTTATTGTATATGGCCTTAAGTCATCATTCACAGACTCTTCAGGCCAACCATTCTTACAGTACTCATATACTTTTATTAAGCACTCATCTTTTTGTGTTTCTCTTTTAATATCATTCACATTTATATTGGAGTTATCCATGATAGTGAAGAGAACAAATACATCTTCTGGTACATAGCTAAGGCTTTGGTTTTTTAAAGGTAATCGACTAAGACTATCTGCACTATTCTCAGAACCAGGTTTGTATTTCAATTCATAATTGTATGCGGCTAGTGTGATAGCCCATCTTTGAATTCTTGGTGAGGCATGCTCAGGTAGGGTTTTGTTTTCTCCAAATAAACCTAGCAATGGTTTATGATCTGTAAAGATGGTGAACTTCCTACCAAACAGAAACTTATGAAATTTCTTAACACCAAAAATGATGCCTAAGCCTTCCCTATCTAACTGAGAATAATTTTTCTCAGCCTGGTTCAAAGATCTACTGGCAAAAGCAATGGGTCTGTCACCCTTTTCATCTATGTGGGATAAGACTGCTCCTACACCATCTGGTGAAGCATCACATGTTAATATAAGTCTTTTCCCTGGGTCATAGTGAGTTAGTAAGGTGTCAGAAGACAAAGATTCTTTTGCTGTATTAAAAGCAGCTTCTTGTTGTTTACCCCAGTGCCAAGTTGCATTTTTCTGTAGCAGCTTGTACAGTGGTGATAGTTTACCAGACAGATTCCCTATGAACTTTGCATAGTAATTTATCAAGCCCAAAAAAGCTCTTAGTTGTTGGGTATTTTCAGGTTTGGGTGCTTCTTTAATGGCTTTTGTTTTCTCAGGTTGAGGTCTGATGCCTTGCTTGCTTAATATATAACCAAGAAAACTAATTTCTGTCAGCATGAATTGACATTTATCTTTGTTTATCTTTAAACCTTTTTCACCAACTATTTTCAAGACTTTATCTAGTGTTTTAAGATGTTCAGTGTCATTCTTACCAGTTATGTACACATTGTCAAAGTAAACACAAACATTTGGAATATCCTTAAAAATACTGTCCATGACAGCCTAGAAAATTCCAGGGCTGGATGATATACCAAAACATAGTCTTTCATATTGGTAGAGTCCTTTATGTGTGTTTATTGTCGTATAGACTTTTGAATCTGGATGCAGTTCTAGTTGAGTGTAAGCATGACTAAAGTCCAATTCAGTGAATTTGTCTCCTCCTGCCAAATTCAAAGAAATTTCCTCAATGTTAGGAATAGGGTACCTATTTAGCTCTATTTGCTTATTCGGTGTAGCTTTATAGTCTCCACAAATTCTTACAGAACCATCCTTCTTTAACACTGGCACAATGGGCGTTGCCCAATCGGAATAGTCTACCTTCTTTATGATGCCATTAGATTCCAATCTACTTAGCTCATTTTCAATTTTATTCCTCATTGCGTAAGGCGGAACTCTAGCTTTGCAGTATCTTGGATTTGTGTCTTTAATGCTTAACTTCACTGTTCTATCATTTAGTAATCCAGGATTACCAAAAACACATTTATTTTCAGATATAACTTTATCTATTGAAGTAAGACTAGATTCTCTTGCATTGTTCACTGAAAATATACTCTCCCAATTTAACTTAAGATCAACTAACCAGTTCCTACCTAGTAATGGTGGTACATTTCCTTCAACCACAAGAAGAGGAAGTTTAACACTTTGACCATTATAACTTACATGAACCATACACTCTCCTATTACCGGAACATTGTCACCAGTGTATGTTGTTAGACACTTGTGACATGGTTGTAGAGGCACTGATCCTCCTGTGACAGCGTCAAAGTCCTTCTTTGTGATGACTGTTAGAGATGCTCCAGTGTCAAGTTGGAAGCTGATGCTCTTACCGTTGATATAAACTAGTACATTGATGGGAGCATGACTTATTGATTTCACAGAGAACAGGTTGAAATCCGGCTGCGAATCAGTTTGAGCATTTTCACAGGTAGAGTGGTTCATTGGTTGGGTTAGGTAGTCTTGGTGAGAGTTAACATAGTGCTGCCTTTGGTTGCGGTACTGTCTTGACTGGCTAGATTTAGCAACAGACGAAGACTTTGCAAAGCAGGCCTTGGCAATGTGACCTTGCTTACTGCACTTATAACAAGTTGCTAACTTGAACTTGCATCGATGAGATGCATGGGGACCTTTGCATCGATGACATTTTTGATCATTATTACTAGATTTAGATCTAGGATTTGAACGTGCAAGCTGTTTAGCATAAGTTGGAATGCTCTGATGGGGTTGGTGTTTGTTGACTAACCTGCTGTTTACTGCATGGATCCCTGAGGGCGTAAGAGATTTTGCCGCCTCGGATGACTGCTGGAATGAAGTTGCTAGTTGTATTGCTTTTTCTAATGTTAGATCTGACTCGAGAAGCAACTTTCTTTGAATATCAGGGCTGTTTACACCTGTCACAAACTTTTCACATAGTCTGTCAGACAGCGTGTCTCCGAATTCACAAAATCTACTTAGATGACGTAAAGCAGCAACATATTCTGATATTGACTCGTTTGGTTGACGAGTCCTACCGTCAAATCTAGCTCTACATAAAAACTTTGATGGTACAGGCGCATGGTGGTCTGTTAGCAGTTTGCTCAGCTCGTTAAAGCTCTTGGTAGTTAGACTAGCTGGTGCGCATAAGTCCTTTAGTAGCCTAAATTGTTGAGGCCCTATGATTGTTAACAAAACAGCTCTCTTTTTGGCTTCTATCGTCACGTCGTTAGCTTCAAGGTAAAAGCTTAACCTATCTAGATAATCATGAATGGTTTCATCATTCGAATCAAATTCTTTTATTTGGCCATACAGCGCCATTATTCTAGAAATACTTAGCCAATATGCTCTAGCAAACCTCTTTGAGTAAGTAGGTGCTCTTTCTAGTGGATTATTTATCCTCGTCGCCAGATGTAATGGATTGACGATAGAAGCATGTGATTGTATATAAAACGTTTATTGGCCTCCAACTACATGATGGTAACGAGAGAGGGCGGAAGTGACGAGAGACACAAATATATATAAACATATAAGGGACATCACTCAAGATAACAGTATAAATATAATACTAATACAGAAGAGTGAGTTCCCTTGACTTCACAAGTCTCACTATATTACAATATAGATATAGATATAGATATAGATATAGATACAGGTACAGGTACAGGTACAGGTACAGATACAGATACAGATACAGATACAGATACAGATACAGATACAGATAGATATATAATATATAGTATGAAAAATACCCCATTCCAATATGCTACAGACTTAAAAGTGTCTTTGACTTATTACACTATTAGTATTAGTTTATGCTAGTGGAATAATTTGACTGCCCTTAATGATTAGGTTTCATCCACAGTCCGGAAAATTGGCCGCCATCATTTAGTACTTACCGCAAGACAAACAAACCCTGCAATTATGAATAAACGGAATGAGCTAGGGCAAGTCAGTCTGACACGGGCATGGCAACAACTTTAGATTAGACGCAATGGGAACCTAAATCATCAAATGACTTTCAGAATTCCTTCAAATGACAAATCTACATCTTCTGTTTAAGATTAATATTTGTGGAAAAAAAATTCATTGAAGATGTAGGCCTATATATTTTTTTAAAATATGTATTTAGCATTTACAAAAGGAATGATTACATTGATAAAAAAACAAATTAGACTATGCCAAAATTTAAAATAAAGTTCAGATTCTTCATCTTTATGATTTGTTTTGTTCTGTCTGTAATTAATAAATATAAATTTAAAGCCAGCGGGTCCTAATTGTTTTGTTTTTTTATCAAGTTAAGATTGTAATTGCAGAATTCATAGTTTCTTTTATAAAATATTTTACGCGCTACATCTAGAAGCGTTAGTTTGGGTAACTACCCACCTTACAACCATCTTCGAGAGGACAGCGTAGCCGTTTTTGTAAACTTATTCAAATAAAATCTTAAACAAGCTCAAGTGCTGCTGAAAAAAAAATTCACCTTTCAGGAACTACGAATTTGAAACTGTCAACAAATATAGCATATTTTCTATCATCTAAATACCTCATTTGTATGATGCACCAAATGCCTTCTTTTTCGTCTTCTCTACTTATAGTTAAGCGTTTGACAAGTATCAAGCCCCTTTTCTTCAAAATGTCAGTCATAATTAGCATTTCTTCATTAAGGGCAATTCTGATTGATGTGAACCCTCAACAGTGACATTCGCTCCACTTAATTACAAGTGTAAAGTTTCCTTATGGTGTAAGCCTTGACATTGTGTTATATGTAAGGCCTCGTGCGGCGTCAAAACGGCCCCGTCAAAACAACCCCGACAAAACGGCCCCGACATAAGAGCCCCGTCAAATCAACCCCGTCAAAAGGGCCAGCGACAAATGGACCCCATCATAAAGGCTCACGACAAATAGACTCCCGTCATTTAGGCTCCCGTCATATAGGCTCTCGACAAAAGGGCTCTAGTCAATAAGGCTCCCGACAGATAGGCTAGCTCCAGTTAAGCTCCCGACAAAACGGCTGCCGACAAATAAGCTCCTGTCATTTGGCTCCGGATAAAAGGGCCCCTGTCAATACGGTTTCCGTTTCAATGTCCTCATTGAATATGACACCTGCCAGTGGGACCCCTTCATCAATACTCTTTAGAGTTAGCCAACACTCTTGAGTATTACAACGTATGCATGTCTTGTTCGGCAGTCCTTATTTTTATAATATGTTATCTAGTATAATAAATAGTATGTTTTATATTTACGGGTCATCTAACGGACTTCCCAAAATGAGTCGGCTGTGTGCTGTTAAAACTCCATGTGTAGGGAGAGAGGTCCACGCAATACATTTACCTGCAGTATGCTTGCAGGTTATCAAAACAAAATGTTATCCTGTAAACACCATGTATATCATACATTTAAAATTGTGTTCGCTTTTAAGCAACATATCTTTACTGTTAGAAATTAAACAATATCAACATTTTAGAATAGGTGGAATTTTGCTGTTAATGGCTCGATTTGTTTGTGAATTGGTGTTGGTTCATGAAAAATTATTTATTGAGGCATTTAAAAGAGGTGGGGGTAGGGCAAAATGGTTACTTTTATGCCAACAGTAGTCATACGATATGTTGGGAGTCATTTTGTCGGAAGCCAATATGTCAAGAGCCCTTATGTCGGGAGTCAATATATCGGGAGCCGATTTGTCGTGACCCAATTTGTCCTGAGCCTATTTGTCCCGGACCGTTAAGACGGTGCACCATCTAGTTGCACTCTTGTTTTCAATTATTTTTTAAAGATTGGCATGGTAAAAATATTAGTCTTCAATTGTAAAGAGCCTAGATTTTCATTAGTTGTTAATTTGAAAGTTTTGGTTCATGTAATGGAAAATGAAATCGACCAGATTAGCTGAAATAAGATAGGATATGTTATTTGAACCAAAATTAACCATTTTGATAGCCAAGCCACATCGTTATTTATGTTTTTGGAATAGTTGTAAAATGTTATGGGTCAGAGTGTGTCGTTAATTATGGAAGTCCCCCTTATTAAAAACAGTCCGTATCGGATTTTTTCTTCCACAAACAAGACACGGTCAGAGTCCCGTTGAGTTTTTTAATCTGTAGGCCTATTGTGCTAACTAAATGATATCCAGTAAAACAAACGTTCTCATAGAGTGCAGAAAAGCAGTTTTCTCTTTCTTCTAAATCGTGCAGTTGTATTTCTAGCAGTTTTAAGCTATGAATGATCAAACTAGGTTTACTACTTACTAGTGAAATAGTGTGTCATGCTCTATAGCTCAAGCAGTGGCGTAGGCGGGGTCATAACCCCCCCCCCCCCGATAGACCCCTCGGTATATATATAAAAAGTATGAGGGGGGTGCACATCGAAAGTTTGAGGGGGGGTGCAAATTGAAAGTTTGTCCCCGGGTGAAAATTGGACCCCCTCCCCCTTGAGACGATCCTGGCTACGCCACTGAGCTCAAGTCATTAGTTTCTTTAATTTATTTGAATTATTATTTTAAAATTATACGACTGAAGGACAACACTACTTAACAGAAATCAATAATTAAAAATACTTTAAACTTAACTATTTTAAAAAAAAAATAAGCAACACAATAAAACAGTTTTTATTAATGCAACTTTTAATAATGTATCATCACCTAACTCACAAATACTTAACCTATTTTTTAAATTAATTTGTGTAATGAGACATGCATTCTTCTTTTACAAACATATAATGAATAAATTATTCAAATAAATGCATTTGATACTGTAAACAATAAATAAGACGATTTAATAAAAGATATTTTTAAAAATGTAATCACATGAACAGTAAACATCTAATCAGGCTACCCATTGAAACCACCTCCCACATATTAATCAACTGTAGTATTTACAGCTAAACTGGTTCTGCATATATTTAATTTTTACGAACAGCTAATAAAAATACAATAAGCAAAACTTGGCTTAGAAGTTTTATCCTCGTTCACAGATAAGGTCAATCACCTGAAATTACAGGGCAGAAAATAAAATACAGAATAAAACATAAGTATAAACAAAAATATTATGTTTCTCACAGTTGAGTAAATGTGTGTGTTTAGTGGGTTAATTTTAATATGCTTTATGACAATATTGAAATATGAAAATAGAATAAATACAACACAATGAAATTTTGTTGTATACGGTGGTCATTTTTGTACAGTGTTTTGACCCAAAAATTTTCAAATAAAAACACAAATTTTATTATTGTTTTGCACTATTTATATTCTGGCACTTCTTTTCTGCAAGCTAAGCATAAAGTTTTTTTTAAATTTCTTTACGTTTTCAACATTCAAATAGGAGTTAAAAAACTGTTGACCTCAATTTGATGAAAGTATTTGAAAATTTAAAACAATTATGTAATTATTTTTTAGATCGCTTCTAATTATAATGCCTCATTCTAATACTTAGTAAAAGCATTCCAGAATTGAATGTTATAAATAAGGTGTTACTGACATTTTACTCTATTGTGATAGGTTGTACATTTTTGTACACGTCATAATCTGCATAATACTTGACCGATGAAGATGAAATTCAGTATACAATGTCATGACACCCACTACATCATTTTCCATACATGGGATAATTTTTGGGACAAAAATCATGGGGCAGTGTCGGAAGGGGATACTTTAGAAGTGTTTAAGCTGGAAGTCTCATAGTAACTTACACTAGGTTCCATCATGACAGGCTCAACACATCTATGCACAGCACTACACACAATTTCATCCAATAAAACTTGCACCAAACTGCAGATCAAAAAAATCTTTTAATCTGAGATGCTGAAATCTAGATGACATGATTAATTTTCTCTCACTTTTATATCACTGGGAACATACATAGACATTAATATTTTTGGCCTGGATGAAAGGAAGAACAACACTAATTTTACAGGACTATCTAAATCATCAGATTTGAAAGGATACTTATCTGACAATTAACGTAAAACACACAAAGGTTTATGATTTAACTATTTTATATTTTATTAAATTTAAAGATCTAATTGTATTGCTTAATTTTCTCAGAAATGTATGCTCTAAAACAAATACCATATTTTCTATCAACTTTGAATAGTTTGGTATCATGAAAACAAGGACTTACTTTTCATCAGAAACAAATCTCCACAGATACAGCTGCAAATAATGAGTATCAACCTGGATTTGTTGCAGTCCATATTTTCCAAATGTCCTTAACCGTACACACTCTAGGAATGTCTATGGACAAAGAAATTGTACATATCATCAAAACAACACCTTCTATGAATGTCTGTAGCCACAGAAATAACCCACACATTACAATAAATGTTTGTGACAAAAAATTTTGAGAATAAAAAAATTTGATTTCATGTTTAGGCAAACTTAGAATGTGAGGGTGCAAGCAAATCAAATGTTTTCCTTAGTCATTGAGACAAACCTTTTAACAGTGTGTGAGTTGATATACAAATATTAACACTCACCTTAAGACTAATTTTAACAATGCCGGTAAGGACTGAGACTTTTGAAAACTCCACTGCGCTAAAAATTTCAATTTTCTCAGAGAAAAGTTTCTGGATGTTGCTCATTAGACTATTATCAACACTGGAATAAATTTTTAAAAATGCATTAAATAATTTAAACATCTTGCTACGTTTTGGTTCCTAAAACAATTCTACATGACACCTAATAACTGATCCAGTATGTAGGTTTCAAGCTTTTTACTCTAGCAGATATTATGCAAAAATATGGCTATGTAAATGTACTGAAATTCATTATTACCTTGGAGCATAGTTCCACTGAGGTCTTCTATTTTGCTGAGTTGCACTTAGGGCATGGGTTCTCCTACTGGAGTCACTACTACGCTCTTTCCTTACACCTTCTTCATACAGCTGTCCAACCTATAGTGTTGATTAGCAGAACTCATCATGCCTTATGCAACAATTGTTTGATTTTTTTTATCTCTATCACAAGTTTATCAACAACTGAAATACCTGCATGTCAATGGCAGTAATATCTTCCACTACACGTTTCATCACGGCTCGAACATTCCGTGGTTCTATGGTGTTAAGCCAGTCTCTGGTTTCAACACTTTTACGTAACATCTTAACAATAGAGAACATAATTTTTAACAGTTAATGATATCATATTTGGTAAAATAAAAAAGGGAATATAAGTCAAAGATCTAAATTATGTACACTTAAATATCAGGTCATATTGATAGATATTGAAGTATAAAGCAAGAATGGTGGTTGAATTAATTTTTATAAAGATGATGGTGCTTATATTTATTAGATAATATATAAAAACAAACCTTAAATATGGTATGGCCATATTGCTTATAAGATAAATTACAACAAATTTTAGATATAGTAAGGCCATGTAGTTTATAAGATTTAATATAACAACAAGCCTATAACAACAAGCCTTAGATATAGTATGGCCATGTTGCTTATACCATAAAATATAACAAACCTTAGATATAGTAAGGCCATGTTGCTTATAAGATAAGATATAACAACAAACCTGTGATATAGTAAGGCCCTGTACTCTGACATAATGATTGAGTAGCCGCTGCCCTGTGTCTTTTGCCATTGCAAATAGTTCCGTGGTTGCTGTGATACAAGTTTTATCCTCCACCATAAACTGCTCTTCAGCTAGGGAAAGCTATTATCAAAACACTGAACATATTAAAGACCAATGAAAAAAGCATTGTATCAAGTCCAAATATTTATGGACAGTAAAAAATTGTAAAATTACACAGTGTTCTTTACATAAAAATGTTATGTGTGGTAGATTTAAAAAGTTGTGCATGAGTAGAAATTATTGTAATAGGTTTATACTTGCCAGATAAGATATTGTTGCGTTTTCCAAATCAATACAAAATCGTGATAAAATCATGAGAAGAGCTGGTGGACTCATCGTCTTGTCTCCAGGTGCTTCACAAAAGTCCTGGACACATTACAGAAGCTAAATCAGCAAGGTTTACTTCCTGTTGCTTTAACAATAATTTCTACATCTAAATATCAGCAAAAAAATTGTTTAACAAATACAACTTACATTACAAACAGTGCATACATGTTTAACAAAAAATACTTACATTACAAACAGTGCACACATGTTTAAAAAATACAACTTACATTGCAAACAGTGCACACATGTTTAACAAAAGCCACCACCAGACCTTCTCTAACATCCTGACTACAGAAAGGTCCTCTAAAGTAGGGTTTCATTGCAAATGTGATGTCTGATGCTATGAAAGCCTGGAAGACATAAATAATTATTGTAATCGATCTGAACCTGCAATTTAAACTATAATATTTAACTGTGCTTAAAATAGTATAAAAATATAACTTAATAAGAAACACAAGCGCATAAGCATACAAACATTGTGAGGGTCAATTATAAATTCTATATGATAAAGGTTATAAAAATAAATCTTATAACCTGTAAATTTCCGAGCACTGATTTGATCTGCTCCACAACAGAGCTTTGCATGTTGCCTAGCAACTCTGCTAATCGAGCACTATTGTCTTGTTTACCAACAAGTCTTGGAGCTGCCAAGTTTTGTCGTATATCAGTCAGACAATCTGAAACACATTTAAAAAACACTGAGAAACTTAATTTACCTACAAAAGACTGTTTCAACATATTCAAACTGCATCATGATCCAACTTGTTTTGTTTTAGATTTCACTTAACTGGTACAATATAGTTATACCATAAATTAATTTTATATTTTGTTTTATTCAAATAAATAAATTATCACATATGAAATAAAAGGCTCAGTAACACAGCAAAGAAACTGGAAGATATTTAAATCACCAAGACAAAAGAGTACCAACCAGCAAAATGTTGTTTTAAAGACTGCAAGTAATGTGCTACTCTGTCCCTTGCTCCCTTTGATACAATCTCTGTACCAGCTCTACAAATATTGGATTTTATTGTCAGGTCAAATTATTATAAATTCATACTTTACAAAAAATTAAAGAGAACTTGTGAAATATAGAAATGTGTAAAAAAAAAACAGCCTCAGGCATGTTTATCAATCAAAATACCTGGAAAAATCTGTGTCAGGAAGTAGCTTGTTCATGGCCTGCAATCTTCTGTGAAAACGATCCAGTGCTCGAACTAGTATCGTATTATCTCCAGTCTCTTTCTAAAAAGGAGATTAAGAATTAACATAAAAAATACTTCCTAAATTATGTTACGCAGCATTAATTACACACAAAATAGACTTTAAATTATCATTTAAGTACCCTGCAGTTCTTATATAAAATACCTCTAGTTGGACTCTTTGGCGAACAAAGCTAAAATACTGCTCCATCAATTCGTTAACAAACAGTACTAATTTTCTTAAAGCTATTGTGTCCAATGATTCACTGAAATAGAACAAAATTGTCAAAATGTTAACTAACACTTTGGCACTTGAAATATTAAAAAAAAATTATAAAAGCTCATGGCATTAGTATTACTGTAATTACTAGGCATGAAAAACATTTTTTAAATATATTATTCTTAGAATTGCTGTATAACACAGAAAATTCTTAAACGGCAAAACTAAACTCAATCTTGAAGAGAGTTAAAAATATCTATGAAACTAAATAAAGCTTAAGTTTTAAGTTTTGTTTCATTTTTGAAATGTTTTAAAACACCCTCTTGATTAGAAAGTAAGACATACTCAGTTTGAGGTCTGTTCAAGAACATATCATTGTAGGATGCTATAACCAGACAAATATTACTCAAAAATCCGTTACAACCAGAGTCAACAAACTCTAAAACATCCTAAAAAAAAACAAGCAATTTTACAATTCACATCAATACATTCAACTAATTAATTAAAAGGGTTATCAATACTTATTGATTCAATAGATAGTGTTACACAAAAATAACAAAGACATCAGCAATAAAGAGCATCTGTAATACTGTCCTTAGTTGTCTTACAAGCAACATGTTAATTAGTAACTAAAATGTCAGAAAGTTGTAATCACTGTTTAATTTAAATAAAAAAAGGAACTTACCATTCCAGCACTTAGATATGCCTGTGCTGGATGTTGGTCAGATGCTGGATTGAGTTCCCCTGAATACAGCTTTATCTGTTTATCCAGTTCTTGCAAATCTTCATCCAGCTTATGTTTAGCACTGGAAAAGGAATGTAAATATATATTTTAAAATAGTGACAATTTAAATTTTACAAATTATAAATTTATAAATTATATTATAATAAAGGAATGAATAAAATAAAGCAAACATTAAAGAGAGCAGTACAGCCCCATTACAGACGTACAAAAACTCACTGAGATAAAGATGTACAAAAACTCACTGAGATAAAGATGTACAAAAACTCACTGAGATAAAGATGTACAAAATTCTCAGAGAAAAAGATGTACAAAAACTCACTGAGATAAAGATGTACAAAAACTCACTGAGAAAAAGATGTACAAAAACTCACTGAGATAAAGATGTACAAAAACTCACTGAGATAAAGATGTACAAAAACTCACTGAGATAAAGATGTACAAAAACTCACTGAGATAAAGATGTACAACAACTAACTGAGATAAAGATGTACAAAAACTCACTGAGATAAAGATGTACAAAAACTCACTGAGATAAAGATGTACAACAACTAACTGAGATAAAGATGTAGAAAAAAACTCACTGAGATAAAAACTCATCACACAGAGATTCAGCTGGTTCACCAAGTTGTAGCAACAAATCAACACATTCTGTCAGCTGCTTAGCTGTGGACTTGAAATTTACGACGTTCTTCAAAACATGGCTTTTTAAAACAAACTACTTTGTATCTGGATGGGTGACTATAACCAAGGTAGGAAACAAATTATAAATTTTGAAACAAAAGTAAATTTTAAATCAGAAATAATTTAATCCAAACCTCTTTTTGCCTGAATTTCTCCCTGAGCTTGCCTCTGAGTTTTTTAATTATTGCACCACAATCAGTATTAATTCCTTGGAAACTTGGCATGTGTTCGTACTGATGAAGAACTCTTTGTGCTTTGGTATAATATCTTTTTAAAAAAATTAAAAAATTAAATTTACATTACTCATACTGAGAGTGCTACGCAGACACAATTCAAACTATTTGACATTCAAATTCACTTTTAAATATTTATTTATCTATCATCTTGAATTTAGAGGAAACAAAACTACCAGATCATATCCTACCTTACAGCTTGCACATAAGCCTCCATTTCGATACATTTATTCAAACGAGCAGGAAGTTCAAAAAGAAACTGAAGCTTTTTCAATAAGGAGTGAACACCAGCCAGTTTTGTTATTTGCTGACGTCTGTCTTGTAGAGTGCTGCTGATGTTGGCAGAAAACTCTGTGATTGCTGACATGTTACTGGCTAGATGATCCATTTCATCTTCCATTTTGCGAAAGTCATTTTTCATCTGCAATGTAAAATTTGTATTTAAATGTGATTCTGCATAATTTATATATAGAAATATATATAATTCATTTAATATATTAAGAAAGGTACCTTTCTAATTGTATCTGTTGCACTGATAAATTTATTGTAGTTTTCATATACTAGTGTCTGCATATCACTGTCCAATCCACGTATATCCCGTACCATTTTCTGTTCTTCATCCATTAGTTCTGTCAGAGACCTCTCCTAGTCATAAAATCATAAAAAGTTGTTGAGTAATGCATAAAGGGGGGGGGGGGGGGAGATTTTGTTTCAATATTTCAAACTGTAATAATTAAGTATAGAAATAATGATGTAATTTGAGTCAGTAGCAGTAACACAACAGAAAAGATATTGTCTTTTACTCTTACCTGAATTAGTTTAGAGAGATAATTTTGAGGTTGGAAATTAGCACCATCAATATTGCAGGGATCAGTTGTTTGGGGAAGATAATAATTTTCTTGCTGAATACCATTTTCTGCTTCTCCATTTTCTAAACCATAATACATTTTTAAATCTCTCCTGTGGCGTCTTTCTTCTAACCCATTATCTATAGACATTGTATAATATAAAATATAAAGTATTAAAGAGTACGCTAAATATAATAAGAAGTTAACAGTTTAATTCTTATGTAAAGTTAAGTAGGCCCTATTACAAATTTTGACTTGAAATATCCTCCTAAAATTTAATAGGCCTATGAGTATGACCCTATCTACTAACTATCTACTATCTACTATCTACACATCTAGTATCTATTATTCTATAGTAATACTATTAGGCCTAAGTATTAACTATTAGTATTAATTACTAATTATAATTAGGCCTATATACTATATATTATTAGGCCCTATATTAATCTATATTCTATAGACTGTAGACTAGTCAGACTAGTGTAGACTCAGGGCATTAGGGCGAATTAGTAGTATTAGTATTAGTTATTACTTTTTATTAGTAACTATTAGTATTAGTAACTAGATCTAGACTATATTATTATTAGAATTAGATCTAAACTATTTACTATAGGCCTACTAAGTCCGAATTTTATTTTTAAATAAATGTCGAATGAAACGAAAACAAACCTACCAATCTGTGAAGAACTTTTGTCCACCATTATGAATGTAACAAGTTAAATGTGGTTTAGATCTAAATCGAGCTCTAGATAGATCTAGATCTAGATTTTAGACTAGATTTCTAGATCTAGGCCTACAATACACAAAAATAAGAAAATAGTTTATAATCTAGATTTAGAGAAGAGTTATCTGTCTATCGGAAGCACATAAATAGGAAAAGGGGAAACTACTCCAATAATATTTTTGTTTGCAAAAACAACAAAAACACATGTTAGTAACAACACCAGGCAGAATCTTCTAGTCTTACACCACCAGTGCGTAACTTAAGTCTAATTATTATTAAGTCATCAAGTGTAAATAAATAGTCAGCAGAACTGTTTAGAAGTTTATTAAATTGTTAGGTAGATCATCTAGATCTAGTTACTAATAATACTAAATAAATACTAAATAGAGTAAATAGAGAATCTAGTGAAATAGAAAAAATACTAAAAATACTAAGTCAAGTAGGCCTAAGCCTACTAACTAAATGTCAATGAGTTTGGTTGCATCTGATGAGAACATCACTCTTTATTATTTATTAAACTTAAACCTACTGAAAAGTTTTAATACAATTGTTAATTGTTTAAAAACAGGTAGATCATTCTACATAGATGAAACTTTGAAACATTTTTGGGTAATCTATCGTTTTGGGTACGTAAAATCGCCCGCGATTTGTAATGTGAAAAACAGGTGACTCCTTAAATTTTAATAATTATTTCACATTTTGAGGAAGATTTATGTTTTAAAAAATTCAAAAATGTTTCCTTGATTCATTTATGTACCTGTTTTTAAACAATTGAATTAAAACTTTTCCGTAATAAATGAAGACTAGCGATGTTTCCAACAGATGCAACCATGCTCATTTACTATAGCAGCCATCTTGTTTAAGTTTTATTTTTATAAGCTTTTAGCGCCAGATTCAGGGGGAAGCCACTCTATTTTACAAATGGCTGCTGTTTATATAGCAAATCTTGCTCTCAGACACTGCTGTTTAAAGTTAATTTCTGGCCTGTATCGATATATTTAGCCATTGATTTAGGTTTATTATTCATTTATCTATAATATTTGACACACAAGTATGACAACATACTTCTATTAAAACCTTGACAATGAGGTAACGTTTTCGTACATAAATAGCCGCGGGCGATTTTACGTACCCAAAACGATAGATTACCCATTTTTGGAACTTTCAAAACATAAAATTAAAATTAAATCCTCCTAAAAATGTGAAATAGATCTAGATCTAGACTATCTAGATCTAGTATCTAGATCTAGATCTAATTGCTAAAATTTAATGGCATTATTAATGAGTCACCCACTTTTCACATTACCAGTCTCTGTCGATTTTTTAAAGTAGGTCTACAACTAGTACATACTATTAGTATTACTATTACTGTATTACAGCCTTAACAATGAGACATTGTTTTTTCACATTACTAGCTTTGGCTGATTTTACGCACCTATAACGATAGATTACCGTGTAAAGTATCTTAATGTCTACGGTATAGTAAATCAGCGGTTGATCAAGAGTCCAGATTTAGATCTAGAATCAAGATCAAGTCATAGTGGTAGCTTTCTGGGTAATCTCACGACATAGCGTTGGAAATTATAGGGTTGAGTTTCTTAAACATTCGCTACTGCAAACACCATAGTTACTATTCTAGGGTTGATTTGACCGTTGAAATATAAATAAATTCAAGTGCATTAAATTTATGTTTTGACTTAATTTTCAGTTTAATTGACAGAAAATTAGCAACCATCAGTAGATCTAAATAGTAATAATAAGGTCATGTGTAGTAATTAACGTTTTTTAAGAAAGAAAAAAACTTGCAGAAGATTTGCAACAACTAGATTCTAAATGTAGTAAAATAAGACGATTAGATTTATTAAAGTCTAAAGTAGTTAGAAGGACTAGATTAATGTTTAGAAGCAGCAATAATTAGCACATACACTTAAATTATTAGAAATGCTAAATTATTAGCAAAACAGTATTTAAAATGCAACTAAAATCAATCTATTAAAAAAAAAAAATGTAATAAAAATAAATGCCGCCAAATAAAATATGGTTTACAGTACTTTTGTTGGTTTCCAGAACAGTGTGAGATATTATGCCATGGTTTTACTGTTTTTTACTGCTGTACCATTCCTGAATAATAACCGGCACTATATTGTAAGATTTAAATGAAATTATTTAGGGTAGGCCTTAACACAGGTACGGCACATATTGCACATAAAACATTTTTGTAACTTTGAAAACATACTCATAGATATTTAAAAATTTACATAGCCTAATTATAATTATAATATTAACATAATTACCATTTCAGTTAAGTTAACAAAATTTTATACACAGGTATAAGATCCTTTTCTCATCCGTAAAATTTTGAGTGCTTTCAAAAAATATCACTTCTACCGGACCGTCTTGTTTCAAACTTTTCATGTAGGTAAAGTCATAATGACAAGGCAAAGTATTTAAAAAATTAATGAAAACAATTGTAAGGCTACCTAGCCTTTGTAGTTTCAGTTTTAATTCATGGTTTTTACTTTTTATTTAAAAGCAGTTTATATTACTAGTAAAAATGAAAGTTAAGACACTGGAACAGCTCAAAGAGATTCAACAAAAGCCTTCACAAATCCGCAACATTTGTATTCTTGCTCATGTGGATCATGGTAAATAAATTATTTCTAATACCTAAACTTTTTGCTTTAGACTAACATATTCTCTTTTGGTAGATTTTAAATGACCTTTTTTCTCTTATTTTGTTAATAAAATAACAATATATAGAATGTGTGTGTATATATACATACATATATATATATATATACATACATATATATATATATACATACATATATATATACTTATATACATAACATATCCATATTTTTTTTTAATTTCTTATCTGTTACAATAGGTAAAACCACAATTGCTGATGCTTTAGTTGCCAGTAATGGAATCATCTCAAAAAGAAATGCTGGGAAGGTAACTCTTATTCTAAATAAATTATGTATTTTAACATAAATACTTTTGGTGTCAGTGTGTTCAGGTCTCTATAGCTATTGGTTGCTGAACTGAAAGTCCCAAGTTCAAACCTTTGGACAGATGAGGCTCGATAGCTGGGTAGAACAACCTATCTCTTATGAATGTTATCTTGGGTATCGTAAGGGTGTGAGAGTGTGTTGTGGAATTATTTATATTAATAAATGTGTAGATGTATTTGTTTGTCATCGTGGATATAGTCGTTTTGTTTGACAGTGCAATAGACGATTAAATGAACCAATGGCGTCCTGTCCTGAATCGTTGTTGTCACTGGTTTTACATTATCTTTCAAGTGTTGACCCCATCCTAAACTTAAATCATAACTTTATCTAGGAGAGAAAACTCCAAATCCAACATCTGCTGCCTTGTAGTTTGTTCTTGGTTGGACACAGGCTATGGAAGCAAATCCAGAAAGAAAAGCAGGCTAAAATAAGGGTCTATGGCCTACATGGCGCATAACGAGTTGACATGTAATACTTAAAACTAATTGCCTAGGAGTGAATCCCTTTCATCATTACAATTAAGAAAAAAGAAGTAGAAATAAAAATAAACTTCAATTCAGCCTAAGTATTTTTCACAGTTTCTATAGCATGGTCAACATCAGTTCATGTTCGAACATTCATGTATTACTAAGCTACTTTTTTTTTTAAATAAAGAACACTGGTTTCAATAAAACTATAAATATCAACTTTATTTTAAAATCTGTAAAGATTGGATTGACTATTAAAATGTATTTATAAACAGATTCGTTACATGGATAGCCGAATGGATGAACAAGAAAGAGGTATCACCATGAAATCAAGTGCAATCACTCTAGTATATGAGGAATCTAAAAAAGGTAAGTATTTAAATAATAATGTGTTTCAGTTATTCTTTTTTTCTGCAACATATTTTATACTGATTATTAAAAATCATTTTTGACAATAATTACTTGAATCATTTTTTTTTTAAATCTACATTAAATAATACCTTTTTAAACCATTCTCTTATAATGATTATGTTATTGACAGTAAAAAATGTACACACATCCAGAAATATTAAAAAAACCTCTCAAATAAAGTTTTATATTTAAATAAGTGAGGCACTTTAGTAAATTTACAAATTACAGCCAGATAATACTAGATGTATAATTTTAGAAAAATGTAATACAAGTAAATGAATAATAAGAGTTTTTGTGTATATAATTTTTTAAACTTATCTTTTCACAGGTAATCACACAACAGCACCTGCACATTTTCTCATTAACTTAATAGACTCACCTGGACATGTTGACTTTTCTTCTGAGGTATCAACCGCTGTTAGGTTGTGTGATGGAGCCATAGTTGTTGTAGATGTTGTTGAGGGAGTCTGTCCTCAAGTAAGTTAACAACACTACTCACACTTAATATTTATTTTTGCTTAAATCATCAGTGGAGCAATAGACAATGGTAATTATAATATAAATAAAAGATAATCTCAACAAACAGTTTGACCATAACTTCGTTCTGTTATTTATATAAAAATAACTTCTATCCCATTTTCTGTGTAGTAATAACTAGATCTAAAAACAATCATCCTCCTCTTCAATTAAAATTAATCAAATTAGATTATTTTTTTTCTTTTCTGTTAAGCCTTGATTTTTTGTTTTTCAACAGACTCATGCAGTGATGAGGCAGGCTTGGCTTGAAAATATACGTCCTATACTGGTCCTGAATAAAATTGACCGCCTTATTACCCAGTTGAAGATGGTGCCACTGGAAGCTTATTACCGCCTTATTCAAATTTTAGAACAGGTAGAGTTTCTAAAAACACTAGCTTTATAAATCTTTTTCCTTATTTCTTTTTTTACAATATATTAAAACACCAATTTAACTTGCTTAAAAATAACTGGATAAATATATAAATATAACTGGATTAAATCGTATTTATTTAGGTCAACTTGATAACAAATCAGTTGTTTACATCAGATGCTATGGAGAAACTATCCCTGGTAAGTTTCACATTTGTAGTTTTTATTATTTCATTTGTATTTCAACAAATATTTTAGTTAATATTTAGTTTTAAGTTGACATTGGCAGGATTTTAAGTACTGTAATTTTCTACTTTTAAGAACACCAACACTGATGGAGAAACAAAGGTTGATGGTGTTGAAACAAATGTAAGTCTAAATTTTGATTTAATGTTGCATTCTTTTAATTTAAGGAAAAATAAATTTATAAAGTAAACTCAATCGCCATTTTTTAAAATCTTCACTTCATGGTATTTCTTTTCCTCTTCATTTTTGTAGTCGAATGACTTGACTGTCCTTCTTAATTTCCCCCAATGTTTTTGTAGTGATGTGACTGGACTATTGGTCTTTATTTTCCCCAATGTTTTTGTAGTCTTGTGATTGGACTATTGGTCTTTATTTTCCCCATTGTTTTTGTAGTCTTGTGACTGGACTATTGGTCTTTATTTTCTGCATTGTTTTTGTAGTCTTTTGACTGAACTATTGGTCTTTATTTTCCCCATTGTTTTTGTAGTCTTTTGACTGAACTATTGGTCTTTATTTTCCCCAATGTTTTTGTAGTCATATGACTGGACTGTCATTGAGGATGAAGAGGAACACAAAAATATTTATTTCTCACCTGAGTTGGGGAATGTTGTTTTCGCAAGTGCAATTGACGGCTGGGGTTTTTCGTAAGTAAAATAAGTTATTTCAATTATAATTCTATTTGTTTTGATTTTACTTCTATTCCAATTTTTCTTTCCAATCGCTTTTTTTATTGACCCAGCACTGATATTGTTCTGAAATAACCTGTTTGAGTACGATACAGGGAACTTATGATATTTTTGGTATGGTTATTTTAAAAACTTTTACTCTGTTTTTACTGAACAAATCAGAATTGCTGACTTTGCATACATGTACGCTAAAAAACTTGGAGTTAAAGAAAACATCCTTCAGAAAACATTATGGGGAGATTATTTCATCAACATGAAGGCCAAAAGAATTTCAAAAGGAGCTCAGGTGTGCACAGTAGTTTTCATTCCTTACGAAAGTTTATTTACATTTCATGTTTATTTAGTTGTATGTAAATAGTGAGGATATCTGGAAAATTAATTAACAAATATGTAGTTGAAAATATTTTATGATAGTTAGATATCTGTTATTGTAGAAGATGTACTCAAAACAAAATGATGAATATATTTATTTTTGTACTAATGAAAATGTTATTTCCATTTTTTAGTCTAAAGGTAAAAAGCCTTTATTTGTACAACTGGCCTTAGAAAGTATATGGGCAGCATATGATGCTGTCTTGGAACAAAGGTAAAATACTGGCATGTCACTTACTTTAATTATGTTTTAGGAATTCTACTAGCAACCTTTTTGTATATAAATGTCCTTAATGTCATGGGTACATTTTTTTAAAGTTATAAAAATACTTAAATCTCCAGAGATACTGTAATGATAGAAAAAATAATCAAGTCCCAAGATCTGACATTGACAGACAGAGACAAACGTCACAAAGATCCCCGCGTGTTACTTCAGGCAATCATGGGGCAATGGTTGCCTTTAGCTGATGCAATTTTAGGTAAGTTTTGTGCTGCAAGGTTAGATTTAATTGTCACTTTTGATATTTAGTTTACAATATGATGTGATTTTACCTCTTTCTTTACACCCATGGTTCTGCACCCTGAAATTCCAGGAGGTAATGGGGGTTGTTCTCTGAAAAATGTTAGAATATTTTAAGATTTGTATAATTTTAACAAAAGTATAAGTATTAATGATTTTAGTTTGATTAAAAATAAATTCAGTTAATCCTTATTAATATCTTTAATTTAATAAATACTGCACATTATATATTTTTCAACAAATAACTAAGTGAACAGTCACTGTTTTTTCTTTAAACAGAAACTGTGACACTATGCATTCCATCCCCCATGAAGATGACTGATGAAAGAATTCAAGCCCTTATGTGCAATAAAAGTCGCCAGTTTTCTTCTTTACCAAAATGTACTCAGGATTTGAAAGAAAGTAAGGGACTGAGACAAATAATAAACATATAGAATCTATCTAGTTCCTATAATTTAATATGACTTTATTCAAATATTTTTGTGTTTTTGTTATTGTTTTAACTTGTGCTTTTTTATGTGCTTACTATTTAGATTTTCAAGCATGTGATTCAAGTTCAAATGCTCCAGTCATTATTTATATTTCAAAAATGTTACCTTTTGAAAAGAAATGTCTACCTCAACAAAAAGCAAGGTCTTAAACATTTATATAATTGATGTTTCAAATTACTACCATTTCTGACAATTTAGTAATGTTTTCTCAAATTTCACCTATGAAATATTAGTTGGAAGTTTGTAAAATGTTTAACACTTTTAAAACTTACATTATCTTCTTAAAATTTGATGAAATAGTATCAAATACTTAAAATCAATGTAAGTAAAAAAAATGTTAACTTTGTATCTTAAAGTTAATGATGTTAATATGTTTTTCAGACTGTTAACAGATGAAGAACTTCAACTTCGTAGGGATGAAGCTCGGAGGCGACATGCTGAAATGGTTGTCAAAAGAGAGCTGGCTGAGAAGGCTACATCTAGTGCACCGAATGATAATGTTAAAATAATTGAAGACAATAGCAATCCACTAGGTTAGCACATTTTGTAGAACAGAACCAACATTGATTGTTTTAAAACTTTGTTTTATAAATGTACTTTTAAAAAATGCATTTTAAAATTAAAACATTTCTTTCCTAGATGACAGCAAAGAATTTGAGAGTGATCATATTTTTATAGCCTTTGCCAGGATATTTAGTGGTACTATTCGTAAAGGAGCAAAGTTGTATTTTCTTGGACCAAAACATGACCCTGCTGAAGCTCTCAATGAGGTACTTCTACACTCAAAATATGTCACACATGAGCAACATTTTACACATAAGCTGCTACATCATAAGCCTTGACTGATAGGTACAAATATACTGTCATATTCTTATTAGAATACCGGTTTTTAACTTATTTGGGCATACCCAACCCTACCAGTTTCAAATGAGCATTCACAAAACCCTTCTTTCATCTGCACTGACAAAAATCTGATTTAGGCGGGTGTGTCTTGACCTCTGGCAAACCCCTGAGACTGACTCACCAAACCCCTAACGTTCGATCGAACCCAGGTTAAGAATCACTGTATTATAATAGACTACAAATGAAACGCTTATTTCACACTAATCCCAATATGTTTTGTCGCCTTTTTTTGTAGTTTTCCACATTAACACCTGAAGATCTGATGTCCCGCTCTGACCTGCAAGCCAAGTATCCACACATCTCTTCTGTAGAAATTAAAGATCTGTATCTTTTAATGGGTCGAGAGTTAGAGGCACTTGATGAGGTCTCAGCTGGAAATGTTTTTGGCATTGGAGGTCTAGAAACTCACGTGCTGAAGTCTGGAACCCTGGCCTCAACTGTTGCATGCCCAGCTTTCACTGATATGTTTTTTGATGCAGCACCTATTGTACGTGTGGCTGTTGAACCTGTTAACGCATGTAAGTTATTCCTATCTGTGCATACGCATTTCATTCCAATATCAACTTGTTAATATTTTATTCCAATGTCAAAATAAGAAACTATTTTAATACTATTTGTCATTATTTAATAGAAATAATATTTTTCATAGGTGATATCAATCGTCTGCTAGTAGGTTTAAAGCTCCTTAATCAAGCTGATCCTTGTGTTGAAGTAAGAATTCAGGAAACTGGTGAGCATGTCATTATAGCAGCAGGGGAGGTTCACATGCAACGTTGTATTGATGATCTTAAGGAGAGGTCAGTCATTTATTTCTCTTCAACACTACTTTATAGATCATCGGATCAAATTGCTGAATACATTTACATTGATTTCAATAAGTTAAGAGTTATTTTCATTATGACCTCAGTATTTCAGGGTTTTTTTTTTAAATATATAAGTTGTACATGAAATATGAATGGTAAAAATGAATAAATTGTGTCAAATTACAGGTATGGTAAGGTAGAAGTGAATGTTTCCAAGCCCATTGTTCCTTTCCGAGAAACTATTGTCCTTCCTCCAAAGCTGGATATGGTAAATGAGAGCATACAAGATCAGGGAGATAAAGAAGAAGTTAATGAAATTATTCAGGTTAGTTTTGCCAATGAAATGTTTCAGTTAGTTTTGCCAATGAAATGTTTCAGTTACTTTTTTACTACAGGCAACATTATTTAACTGTAAAACAGTGACTTCCTCATATTGTTATTGACATGATACATATTATTCAGTAGTTACATACAAACGTTGGACAAGTTGTAAACAAGAATTGACAGTTGAATGTGTTACATAAAATATAACATAAAATATAACATTTAGTTAGCATGGTAAAATATTTACCACTATAATGTGAGGCTATTTCCATTATTATTTCAATGAAAAAACTTGTGTTTGAAACAAATATTTCCTAATTATTTTAATTTTGAAATGTACAGGTATCAACTATAGATCGACAGTGCCATCTTCTTTTAAGAGCAGTACCATTGCCTGGTAATATTGCTGATATATTACTTCAAAACCAGCCAAGTCTAAAAGCTCTTGAGGCACTTTCATCAGCCACTGTAAACAATCGCTCAGACCAACAGGTACATATAGGTTAACAAACGGACTTACCGAATGTAAACAAATGTAAAACACGTAGCTTAATATAAGTATAACGAAAATATTTTTTAAAATAATTTCAGGCTCTCTTTGACATGACAGATAGTGCCAAGGAAAATATTTTGGTCATTAAACAACAGTTGAAAGAAGAATTTGAAAAAGCTGGACCATTTTGGTGTGGTGCAGAGAATCAGATTTGGAGTTTTGGGCCAAGACGTTGTGGTCCCAATATATTACTAAATCGCATAGGCCATTATAAAAGACCATCTGTGTGGCATACAGTGGAAGGTAACCAGTCAGAAACTGGAAAAGTGGCTGACCTGGACAACAGCATTGTGACAGGTTTCCAAGTGGCCACCATGGCAGGACCTTTATGTGAGGAACCCATGCACGGCGTCTGCATTGTTGTTGAAGACTGGTGGTATGGCGACAAGCAGCAACAAACTGACCAATCAAAATTACGAAACGTAAACAGCCAAGAGAATATCAAATCCTCAGAGAATAATTATTATAATGAAGTAAATAACAAAGCTGTGAACCAGGCAGGATCTGCTGCCAATGATAATCAATCTTCACTGAATGGGGATGATTCTCCTACAGAAAGTTTCACAAAGCAAAATAACGCTTATGGACCACTATCAGGACAGCTGATTTCAGCAATGAAAGAGGGTTGTCGAAGAGCATTCCAATCACAGCCTCAAAGGCTGATGGCTGCAATGTACCAGTGTGAAGTACAGGCCAACATGGATGTTCTCGGTAAGGACCATAGGTTGTGGAAACTTGCTTTCTCTTATTAAATTAATTTTTAATTACTTGATAGAAATTATCAAGTTGAATTCCATTCTTCAATGATGAAAACTTGACATTTTACTGTTATTAGTAAGAAACAACTTGACATAAATGTATGTGTCTTTCAGGCAAGCTGCATGGTGTACTATCTAAGCGCTTTGGCAACGTGCTGTCTGATGAGATGCTAGAAGGCACAGCCATGTTTAACATCAAAGCAGTTCTGCCAGTTATAGAAAGTTTTGGTTTTGCTGAAGATATGCGCAAAAAAACAAGTGGTCTTGCAAGCCCTCAGATGAAATTCTCACACTGGGAGGTAAACAGTTTTATCTCGTTTAATAGTGCTATCCCAAAAGTCTCAGAGTTAGATCCCAGATCGAAGTAACGAACTCAATGGCCAAAGTAGGGGTATTAACAAAAATATATATATATTTCGTAAAGTTACAATTGTGTAGCTGATAAGTCTCTTATTTTTATATCAGTTTTTGTTATAGATTTTTTTTTTAAAACAACCTTCATATTTTGTATTAAAGGTAATACCTGTAGATCCTTTCTGGGTACCTACCACAGAAGAAGAATACTTGCATTTTGGAGAAAAGGCAGATGCAGAGAACAGGGCTAGAGTTTACATGAACAAAGTCCGCAAACGAAAGGGGCTTCCTACAAATGAAAAACTTGTTGAGTTTGCTGAAAAACAAAGGACTTTGACTAAAAATAAATGAAACAATAAACTATGGTAGATTCTACTTTCATAACTAAATGTCAAATGATCGAAGTCAGTCATGTCATTGCCCAGATAAACTGAAGTTTGACTTGGATTAAAAAAGTTTTCAAGGAGTTCTGGTTATGTGATAACTGCTGTGAGCAAAAATTCACTTTGAAACCGTATTTTACTGATTACCTGCTCCTGACGTAAAATCCTGATGAGATCAGCTGTAGTTGACCTATTAAAAGATGCTATAAGTTAACTGTTTTATCTACTATAAGTGTTGAATTTTTAAAATAGTGAAATTCATGAAATTATTTGTGGGTTCATTAAAAGAGAGTTATGAAATACTTTCACTCTCAATAAAGATTATAAATAATAAGTATTTGTAGTTGTACATTTTACATTCTTTTTGGTAGGAGGGTTAATAAAATGTTAAATTTTACTTTTTAATTTTTTAATGGATTATTCACACATTTTTATGTATTTTATCTGTAATAAAATTATATATCATCAGATAAATAATCTTCGATAGTCGTTGCACCTTTATTTCAATGATTCTCTCAAAATAGTTTGAGTTAGTCCATTAGAAACTGATTTTACACTGCATAAATAATTATTGATAAAAAAAGCACAACCTCTAATTAAAACACAGTAATTATTTTGACATTAAAGAAAAAGACAACCTTAATTAGTCAAAGCAGCATAGAATTGTAAAAAAAAAATGTTGTAAATTAACCTGTCTTAATTTTAATACTTTAAATTGGTTTGATTTAAAAATAAAAGCAGTAAAATAAAACAAGTGCTCATAATGGATTTTTTACTTTTTTTTTTTTACTTAACAATATACCCTTAATTCTAAGTAGGGCTATAATGCTTAGTGAAAAATAGTAAAGAGATAACAAATTCATTAGTATTAAAATTCACCCATACGTAAACAAAAATATTCATTGTTAGAAATTTGCACTCAAAGATTTTTCATTTAGTTCTTAATTTAGGCTATTCATTAGAAAACAGAAAAGAACTAGAAACAAATTGATGATTATCAGCGTCTTATCTGCATGATTTGCAATGCCAAATTGATCAATTCTAGTCCAGCAAAAGTAAGAGAACATTTCCTTAAGCTGCATGGAGATACAAGAACAATGCTCACTGAATTCAAGCCGCACTCTATTTAATTGGTGTGTGAAAAGCGAAAGGCAACAGCAGTAAATTTTAATTTTTTTTTTTTTTTTTTTTTTTTTTTGCACGTTTACAAGACTCTTTCTATACTTTGTATAAACGAGAAAGTAAAAATAGCATAAAAAATTTTCGACGAGGATGGGATTCGAACCCACGCGGGGAGACCCCAATGGATTAGCAGTCCATCGCCTTAACCACTCGGCCACCTCGTCTACGTGCCTGCGTGTGCAGTGTAAGTTTATATATCAATGTTTATTTCTGGATGCGGAAGAATCTTCTAACATTAAGTGTATTTAAGTCACGAGCATTTAATTTACCTTCTCTACTGCGTTGTCTCTCAACTTCTGTTCTCCGGGTTCTAGACTGGATCTAGACTCTAGATCTAGAATCTGGATCTGATCTAGTTCGTCTGAGGGTAGACAAATTTAACTTGGGCCGTTGATTAGATAAGCTTTTGTGGTAATAAATTATTAGAAAGATATGAAATATTATATCGCCTACATTTTCTTTAAACACTTCCCCTGACTTCTGGACTGTCTTGCTCTTATGTCTTGACTGGTCTAAGAAAAAAAAAGAATCAACTTCGTCATACTACTACTCTAGGACCTAGAGTCTAGATAGAGGCCCTAGACCGTCCGTAACTCATAACTCATTCAGTGACCAGTGTGTTAAATAGTATGAAGTCTAAAAAAATAAGAATTTATTTAGAATTAGTTTAGGTTAGTTTGATATCTAGACGTCTAGAATCACTATAGAACTGATAGTGAAAGATAGGCCTATTATTTAGTAACTATTTATATTTACTGTTGCAATTAATATAGAAAATTAAAATTAGACAAGCTGGGGATTCTGATGTTTAGACCATGGGAGCCAGATTGCAGTTAACCTGGAGATTGCAGGCATGGGATATTTTTTTTAATCAAGTATCACCTAACTTCTAAGACTACGGAATCTAGCACAGGAACTCAGCCAAATGATGGGCTTATTGCATTGAGTTGAAAATAAACTCATGACAATAATATTTTAACAATCTTATTTACATAAAATAGGCTATTTCATCCCACTTTGTCTTCACAACTGCAGTATTTCTGAGTAGCTTTGCATACATCATTGTGGCGTCAAACAAAACACTGAGAATACATGCGCTTGATTTAGATTGGCTAGCATCTGTCACAAATCCCAATTTGCTGAAATAAGGCTATATATAAGCCTATGTATATTAAAATTTCATTCATTCATTAGTCCTACTTGACAAAACAATCATTAGAGTAAAATAAAAATGCTTCAGTATCATAAAATGTTTTACTGTAAGCATGTAAAGAGTATTAAGATGTCATTTTGATTTCTTACCATTTATGCAATATGAAACCTATTAAAGTTACAAATATTTGTGGTCTAACTTTGTAAAACAAACACTCACTAATTTTATTGTCTTTGTTGAAATCTCAAATCACTAATTTTAGAACGGTTTTGTTCAATTCAAATCAATGTTCATATTTATAGATTTTTAAATTAATTATAGGTATGACGATGATGGTTGATATGCTGTAATGATCATAATGGAATTAACCTTGTCAAAGGCTGTATCATCAAATAGATATTTATTTATCAACATGGATTAAACTACATCTGAAAATGGAAGCTATGAAAAATTTTAGTAAACAAGGCTAGCAATTGATCAAGATCCTTGTAACCCATCAGGGAATTATGAACTATTAGTTATCACATGTGAATATTTAGCTATTATGGTATGAATCTTACTTTGTAATATACTTTTACTTTATATCACCTACAACTTAAAAATACTGGACTGATTAATATGAAAAGTTGATTAAAGAGGTGTACATCTTATGCTCATATTTTATTTAGGATTGCTTTGTTTCATGAACAAACCTTTTTTTTTTTTATAAATTAAACTTAGGCTTCAGGATTTTTGGAAATTCAGAGTGATCAAGATTCAAATCTGCCAATAAACTTGACTAGTAACAGTAAGTTTCTCTTACAAATCTAACATTTAAAAAATAGTATTTTTTGTTGTTACATGTTTAAAATAATTTTGTTATTAATATAATAAGTAGTGCCTAATGAATTATCTGTTTGTTATTAGACTTTACAGGTCAAAGAGACGATTTAATGGAGCTTCAAATGAATTTGATAAGACAGGATCCAAAAAGTTATTTAAGTGATGTTGATGCGCGTCCTGAAGAAAAACAATCTGTCTTAGATGAGAGGTTAAAAATATTTTACTTTTTTTATTTCCTCCAACTTAATGAAATAAGTGCCTAGTTTGTGTTTTCAATTCTTTAAGGTAATATTTGAATAAATACCTGTCTTATAAGATATAAATAATAGTCTTACTAAATTATTTAATGCATTATCCACTTTATCATACAGTCACGATCAATAATATTTAAAATTGTTCTGATACAGGCCAGAAAGTACAAAATCTACACCTTGGCAGAGGTCTTCATTAAAACACATGCATGACCTGTATGAAACAGTGGCTGAAATAACTGTGGAACCATGTAGTAAAGATGAGCCTGATGTCAAGGCCTTTTTCAAGGTTAGTGGCACATTAATTTCAAAATAGGATGTGTAAAGTTGAAACAGGCACGCTTTACACATCCTATTTTGAAATTAATGTGCCATCCTAATTACAATTGTTTTATTATTTTCAACTGTAGCTTAAAGCTTAATCAAGGATTTAACTTAATTCAAAGAGTGGGAGAAGAAATTGTATACATGAAAATAACTTGGTAGTAGTAATTATGAGAAGCTAGAAAGATGACATTGGAATATCTTTAATTCAGGTCCATTATATAATCTGCTGCGCCTCTAGTTTTGTTATTAGTTTCTTAAAACAGCTTCATCACATGAGTGCTGTTTCTTTAGCATTGAATTTTTATTTTATTCTCTCTTTATTGACAGCTACTGAGAAACCATAGACTTCAAAGCAAGCTGGTCTATGTCCTGACTGTGGTCTCTATTGTGGCGATATCACACTTTGTGCTAACAGTCAAGTGGCTTCTTCCATACTACTACACCATCACAACTCCAATCTTAATTTTTCTTAGGCTTATAATGTACTGGTAGGTGCTTACAATTAACCTTAAGTATTAATAATATTGAGTACTGAATTAAAGGGTATCATAGTCAAATCTAGAAAGTGTTTTCTTTTTATTATAGGAAAATGAAGTATCAGTTTTTTATGCTGGATTTTTGCTATTTTGCCAACACCTATTGGTATCTTTACATCTGGTAAGTTGTTTTTATTTACATTTATTATTGTCTAATCTGAGAATTGTTTTTACTTCCCATACTGCCAAGTGAATTAATGCTGCCTTTTTACCCATGATTCTTTTATTTTTACTGTCTGGACATAAATTAAAAATCAAAACATAAAGCATTAAACAGGAAAATATTCTCTGTTTGAATTTAAAATGCTAATAATTTACAGGTAAAAACTTTTTAAAATATCCACAGGGTTGTAAGATTGTGTATTTTTTTGACTGAAACAGTTTTGTTTTATTCTGTGAAGGCTGGCACCTGAAAATCCTGAGTTTTTTGTTGTTGGTTTTGCTGTGGCAAATGGTCCTCTAGTCTGGGCTCTCTTTGTCTTCAGAAACTCACTTGTGTTTCACAGCTTAGATAAAGTTACCTCCCTTTATATACACCTTCTGCCAAGTCTCCTGTCATTTGTGTAAGTAATTCCACCAAACAAAATATTTTTTTTTATTTCTTGCTATTTCAAGGGGTGGTAATCTCATTGTTTAATTATTTTACTAAGAGGTAAAACTCCAGATTTATTGAACTTTTTGGGCCTTTCATTTAACTGATCAAAAGCATATAAAAAGATGACAGTTATAATTCACTTTTTTTGACAAATATTTTGCTAAATGTAACTTACAGAATTCGATGGTATCCAGAAGAAACCTCAAAGTATTGGGTGCGGCCGTTCAAGCATCATGAAATAGGGTTCTCTTTCTATTGGCTGGTCCTGCTACCGTTTATTTTTGTAGTTTTACATCAGGTTTGTTTAGTGACCTAGTTCATTGTACTGTGTGGTTAATTATAATATTAGTCACCTTATTTAGTTATCTTTGTAACTGTGATGCATGTCATTTTTTTTTAGGTATTTTATTTGATCCTCGTGGATTGCATTTTAAAACCCAGTGATGAATATCTGACCATGTATCGCTATCTAACCAATAAGGAATCTTCTGTAATATTTCGCATGTGCAATATGTTGGGTCAGAGGTAAGTTTATTTTTGTGACAGACGTATGTTAGAATTGTAAATATTTCACCTAACTTGCAGATTTTCTTTAAAACAAATATTAAAAATATTCTAATAATTCTATTGATGACTATAATTTGACAGTGTTGTTCTCCTGTTTTTCACATGTTGTTGGTCTTTGGTATATTTTCACAGATTTCGCTTGCAGATGTATGTTGCCTGGGGACTGACAGTTGCTCTCATCATGCTGCTGTTCAATCCAGTCTGGTATAATTTCTTCATACCTCACTGTGTTGTTCTAGTTTTCTTTATAATTATTGCCATATATAATGGTGCAACTTACTATATTGATGTCTTCAGCCTAGAGGGCTTAGGTAAAAGTAAACAATCAAAATCAGAACTAGCCACAGCAAACAACGTTGTCTCACCAACTAATGATAAAAAGGTTTATTCAGCCGTTGTTGACTATAACAAGTCTGCAGATAATCTCAAGCCAGTCACTCCTGTTTAATTTCTCAGATGTATTTTATAAAAAGGATGAATGATCTCATTACACTCGTTGCTCCTAATACAAAAGTCATTTTGAAAACAAAAGTTTTTAAATATTTGATTTTAGACACAGAAGAGAAGCAATTGTTTTTTAATCACTCTGCATAATCCTTTCACTCTCATTACAGAACATGGTTTTACATGTTTTAAAAAAAAAATTGTTTCATGAAGTTTTGTATATAATGATTTCTATCTTAGATCTGCCCATTCCATATTTATCAATGAAAACCCAGAGTTTGGTCAGTATTAGAATCTACAATTTTGTGCTACATTCCCATTAGCTGTGATTTCAGTAGAACAGCTCGTCTTGATCACATTTCTGTTTTTATAAGCTGGTATTAATTTCCCATACTTGATACATCTCTTGCTTGATTCCATCCTGTTTGAATTTTTTCAAAGAAAGATCTCTTTTTTTTTAAAATATATTATTTTTAAAAGTAAAATGTTTTACAATTTTTTTTTAACATGCGAATACATATTTATTAATTATATAACACATATTTAAATTAGTTTTTAGTAATGTGTTGTTGCTTAACATAGGAAATTTGTCAGTGCCCCATACCTCATTTTCCTATTGATGTTTAAGTGTGCTTCATGCAGTATACAAATATTTTTAGAGATGAATTGATGTTAGCATACATAAACAGATTAACCATATGCCACACTAATCTACTTTATTATTTTACACCACAAGAAAAAAGGAATGGCATTACAAATTAAGAACATCTTGCCATTTTGAAAATATATTAAAATTAATAAAATAACTAAGGTTTTTACAGTCAGCATATATTATTTTTCTATCATTCTGTTTATTTGAATTAAATCATAACCCCACAGTTTTACTGTTATTACTACAACAAATTGTTCCATTGTTGAATTCCAAATGTGAAGATGTCACTGTTGTGGTTCGGGTAATATTTTGTTGGTCCCTTCTTTCATTATTGTTTCTATCATTTTTTTGTTTAATATAAAAGTATGCGGGTATTAACATGACATGCATTTTTTGACATCCTAGTCATTGTAAAAATAATTTAAAAATTTTTAACAACCATATTTTACATTTACAAAGCCTCATATCTTGTATTATACATTACAGAAAGTATTGATGTAATCAAAATCCACCACCAAAAATTGACCAATATGTTTATTTTATTTAACTGACTTTAGTGTTTTAATCATCTTATATTTCTTGCTATATTTGTTTCCTTAAAGGTTAAAGAATTGTATCAATTTGTTAAAACTGAGTTATCTGCCTTAGCTGTTTGCCTTTGTGTATTGTGTGTGCAAGCAGGTGTTTAGAGTCTGTGTCCTGATATAAATACTATTAAATCCAGTTATCTAATTTAAACTTGGTATGGAATTTTTAAAATAAACACTTTTACAACACTTTTCTAGTTGTCTTATCCTTTACCAACGATACCAGATTAGCCATTTCAGTGAGGCTATTTTCCTGTTTATCCCTATAATTGTGCCTGGTTTATAGCTCTCTACAGTAGTTGTTACAGTTTGGTGATGATAATACTGTCGGCCATCAAAATAAGCTGGATTTGGCTGTAATGATTTCACCATCAAAATAAATTAGCTACACCAAGCTGTAATGATAGCACATTACACCATCAAAATATGCTACACACTACACATAGCTGTAACACCATGAGCTGTAATGCTACTAATTTTATTTCACCTACTGTCTGATATCATTAAAGGCAGGTCATAGATCTAAAACAATTGATGTTACAGCTTTCGGAAAATTAAGAGGCTTTTTGATGGAGATCAGGAACAACACGAACTAGACCTAAAGTCGGGGGGGGGGGGGGTGGGTGTAAGGGAGGCGTCCGTAAATTTCGGCGCACTCTTAAGAGAGAATATTGGAGGTTTGGACTTGGGTGACGTCGATCTTTATAATTTATTTCGCATTTGTATATACTTTATTTTATAAATGGATCAATGTGCTCAGCTTAGTGACGTATCCAGGATCGTCTCCTGGGGGGGGGGGGTTCAAAATTTTTCATTATATATATGTATACTAGCTGTATGTAGGCCGACAAAACAAAACAATTTATCACTGTAAACAAAAAAAAACGAACACAATGTACACACAATACAACAAAAACCAATGACCCCCCCTCGCCTACGCCACTGTCTCCGCTAATAATGTAGTGTGGGGGGGGGGGAGAGGCTGTTTGTAAAAAAGAATTATTTTTTTATTTTTGGTGATTTGTGTAAAGTGTAATTTTAAAAAAAAAACAACACCAATAATATAGAGATCTAGCTAATCTTTGGCCCAGCTCTGTTACAATTGTAGGAAGAAATTCATGTTTGAAAACACTTTTATGAGGAGTTGGAGGTGATAGTGTGATGTCATTTGTACAGCGGGTGAAGGAAATGGTCCCAAAAAAGCCTGACCCCCGTTCTAGACAATCCCTTACTAATCCGGCTGCTCTGTTTGTGCCGTTAAAGCCCCGTTCGATAGCGCGTCAAATAACAGATGGACAAGCACTGACCACGCAGGCCGTTTGAACACACGCTAATTGAGGAAGCGGTGAGGCCGAGCGTGTCAGCCAACCGGACAAGAAGGTCAGGGGTGATTCACGGGCCACTATAAATAGAACGGTGGGGTGGGGAGGAAACCGTTGCGTGCCCTAGGTCAAAAGAAATCTGGTCAAGCAGTCTTAGTGCTGGACTGCACAGTAGGGTCACGAAAAGGTCATGTTGTGTCCCTGAAATTTGACCGTCGGAGCATTGACCACTGCACTGCAGATGTGGTAGAGATGGCTGTATTTTGCTGTAGAGTATGTCTGTAATCTGTTGCCAAGTCCCAGTACTCTAAGTTATAATAATTTCATTTTACTTATTTTTATAAAGCAATTTACCACAAAATGCGTGATTGTGTGTTTTTTTTTTTTTTTTTTTTTTTGTTTTTTTTTTTATCGTGTGTATTATTATTTGCACACTAAGATCCGCTGGTTTATAAATTGCAATGTAGGCCCAAGGGATCGAAATTTAAAAAAAAAAAAACGACTTTTATCTATTCGATGCGTGTCCTCCGACCCCCAAATAGGCGCAAGTTGTCACAATACGCCAGCCCTCCCTCTTCTCCCCCCCCCCCCCCCCCTTTCCAGCATTTCCATCCCACGGCCACACACATCACAATCAATTACCCATAATCCTAACTAAAATTAACGTGTGCATGCCAGTTTGAAAAAAGCAGACTTAAGGTTCAAGTGTCGAGAGTTAGTAAGACATGACATTTACGGTGTACACCTGGACGATTTTCTTTTCACTGTGGCTTAAACAAAAACGTAACATGTTTTTTTATAGATCTGTTGAGTCCATTTAGTTTTAGTTTCCCGTTTTACAGAAGGAAAAATAAATTAAAACATTGATGGTCTGAATGATATATGTTTACAACTAATTAAGCTTTATAAAATTAAATACAGCATACACAAGGATGGGAAAAAAAGATTATCTTAGGCCCTACATCGGAGAGGCTATAGGGCCTACCAGAGTTTCTTCCATGCATGTCTTCGGGGGGGGGGGGGGGGGCGAAGCCCCACCCCCCCCCCCCCCCCCCGAAATTTTTTTACCGCCCCCCCCCCCCACCCGAATGAAATGAAATTTATATAATTTATATAGAAAATATATACTTTTAACAGTGTCCGCCCCCCCCCCCCGAAGAAAGTCTACCGCCCCCCCCCCCGAAAATTTCAAGTGCCCCCCCCCCCCCCCCCGGAGAAAAAAGTCTGGAAGAAACACTGCGGGCCTACAGCACCTAGATCTATAAAAACTAAGTCCATCACTGGTCTAAATATAAAACTATTCTAATGATAATGGGTAATTTTATCAACCTGGTCCGGTAATAAGTACTCGATTACTTTTTGCCGGCAATTGAATGGTATGCTTTAGCATACTTGTTACAGATACAGACTATTTCTGCTTTACGTATTAAAAAGGAAAGTATAAGGAAAACGGGTATGTATTACCCATCTTTACCTCTTATATTAGTTATGTATGTACTAATCGGCAAAATCGTTTTTCAGTTCAAAGACAAAAGTTTACTAAGAAATTTGTTTGATCGACATATTAAGAGATCGTCCAGAAATGACGTCATGTTTTTAAAAAAAAATATTCCCCCCCCCCCCCTCCTTTTACGGGACGGAGTGGTCTAGCGGTAGAGAGCTGGACTGCTAACCCGTAAGTCTCGAATTCGAATCCGGGTTCAAGTTAGTAGACGGTCCCTGGGTCCACCCAACTCTGATGGGTACCTAACTCACGTTAGGGAAAGTAAAGGCGGCTGAGCATAGTGCTGACCACACTATCTCTTCATATGCCGAGGTCACAGAAACAAGTGAACTCTACTTCACTTGCCCCATAGACCGTCAGGTTTGAAAGGGAAACTTTACTTTACTCTCCTTTTACATCGTCACACATCTTAACCAAACTTACCCCCCCCCCCCTTTATAAAACGACTATTTAAAAAAAACAGTGAAAATTCAGTTTGAAATGTCACACATCATCACTAAAGTCCAAACCTCACTCCTCCCCTAGAAGTTTGAGTTCGACCTCAAAGTAGCCATTTAAAAATATGGCACATCATATTTCTGTCTTACCCCATGAGTCACATCATTACACAAGTCTGAACTATTACCCTCATTAAGTGCATGACGTCATTTATTTACATCAATTACAAATCTTCAGCTACAAATGTTTCCTGGCTAATTACGTGGACTTTAACGTGTGTTTCAGCTATCCCAGCCAGAGGCGTAGCAACCCATTTCGGCGACCGGGGCGAACTATCGATTTTGCGCCAACACCCCCCCCCCCTTCCCATATATTTATATATTTATTCACGTTTGCGAAAAAGGACCCCCCCCCCACACACACACACACATCAGCACCGTTAATAGTTTTCCCGTATCTCACAAGCAACGTAGAAAGCCGTCCATATAACCAAATAGCTTTCTATTTTCTTAAATTCGACTGTAATGCAGCTCAGAATAACCGTGTTATTGTATTTTCTACCTAGTTTAGCGCCTCATTAAGGTCCGCGCCCGGAGCGGCCGCCCCACCCGGCCTCCCCTAGCTACGCCTCTGATCCCAGCTATATCATAAAACACTCTAAATCTGAAATCTTTATAATTGCATGCGGCGGGCTGGTTGCTGTAAATTTGCTGTGGTAAGATGTAGATGAGATGCTGCAAGAGGCCTTTTGTTCTGTAAAAACCCGCCCCTGCAGAGTTTCTTCCAGGGCCGATGAAAGTCTACCCCCCCCCCCCCCCTTTCCCGAACAAAATGACGAAATGGAATTTATATCGAAAATATATACTTTTACCAGTGTCCCCCCCCCCCCCCCCCCGGGAAATTTAGTCCCCCCCCCCCCCCCCGAAAATATCAAGCCTCCCCTAATCCCCACCCCATGATTAAACAGTTTGAAAGAAACACTGCGCCCCTGAGTAAGCAATGGGATTAATAGCTTTAGAAACCACACAGAATCAAGTCTGAAAATCGATATAAAAGAAACAATAAGCAAGACGTTGTCTAGCTCGTTTTATATAATGAATAACAGCTACATTTTAAAGTAGCTTACTTACAAGTGTTGTTAAGCCTAACAGCGTGAAGTACAAATCTAGTACCCTCCTTATGTGAATATAAAAACACCGCACCAGATGAAACCTACATAAACGAAAGATGTGCATGTGAACATGCAATCTATAACCAGCTTAAGGTTGATTTTTTTATCACGCCTTGTGAGATCAACACTGGCGTTCTTGGAACAACATTTGGCTGGTTCAGTACGATTCACATACACTGTTTACATTCCAGTAAAATTCACGTTTATGCCCTAATGTTTACATGTCCCAATGGCCGAAATGTTAATATCACAGTGACTTTTCAGAGTTTCTTCCAGGTATCTCTTCGGGGGGAGTCCCCCTCCCCCCGAACGAAATGGAATTTATATAGAAAATATATTTTTTTTACAGTGTCCAACCCCCCCCCCCCCCCCCCCGAAGAAAAAAGTCTGGAAGAAACACTGTAAGTTTCATTGACTATGTTTAGATTACAGTTAGATTCACTTATTATGTAAACATTACAATAAGATTCATGTAAAAAAAAATTAAATATAATGTTTACATTGTAGTAAAATTCGTGTTTACTGTTTACAATATTAAAGCAAGATAGAAATTTCGATAATCTAAAATTACTTTAATGCCATTCACAATTTAGATACTGGGAACAGTGACACTGACACGTGCGTACCGTGGCCAATAGCTGTGGTTTAACTTGAGACGGCTGCAGTGTTTCTTCCAGGCAGCTCTTTGGGGGGCTCTGCCTCCTCCCCCCGAAGAAATTTATATTTTTAATTTTTAATTTATATAAAAATATAT